AAGTCACTTCCACCGGGCCGCCGCCGCGATTGTGCCGTTCAGGGAAGAGTTACCCGCCGTTGTTCGGGGCCCGAGGAAGTGGGTCTCTGCCCCGAGGGGCTTCCAAAATAGCATTCTGCGAGAGATGGCGCACGGGGAGGTGAGCGGCCTGCAGCCCTCGAGATCATTTTGGCCTACAGCTTCCACGCTCCTCGACTCTTGCCTGTGCTGGCTGGGGCACATGGGTGTTGTAGCCCGAAGCACCGCCGATCTCTGTGCTCACCCACCCGATGTATCGCAGCGTAACATACACAGTAAACCTGACTTAAAATAAGTCCCGGAGAAGCCCGTTGGGCTTAACTCCAGGTGAATCTACACTTAGGACTGGGCTAAAGTTTTAAATTCCCGTTTTCTTTGGAAGGAAGGTGTCTGGCAACATTCAAGCAGAAGTCAAGCAAGCTTGTCCTCTGTAAGCCATCCACAGACTTTTAGTAATGGGACAGCATAGAAAAGCTTTAAATATAAACACAATAAATAAATAAGTCATCCTCTGGAGCTGCATCACTCCACAAAGTCTGAGCAAAGTCTGAGCTGCATCACTCCACAAAGTCTGAGCCCCCCCCCCACCTCCGCCCTCCAGAGCTGCTCTCCCAATAAAACCTGTTATCTGTGTTTGCTTGGTTATAAAGATTTGTTTCTAGCCACAGAGGTAGTTGTATTGGGGCAAAGTCCGTAGCAATAATTGTGTACGGCGCCCGTGCATGCACACCTAGTCAGAAATCAGGACCCCCGATTCCAGCGGGACTTACCCCATTTCCCACGAAAGTTTACCCAGGCCTGATAACGCGGCATCTTAGACTCCTGAAGCTTTCATAGCAGTCTGTGATTATCTCGGCACGTCGCTTTCCTTCAGGTATCCCTTCTGCCAGACATGAAATAAGTGGCAATTATAATAGTATATAAATAATAATTAGGCTTCTGGACAGTGATGCCATCTCTGGCCAATTTCTGGGGAAACTAACCAGTGCTTACTTGGTTATCGTTTAGGTACCAGGAGAAGACTTGTTTAAAATCCCCCCAGGCATCTAAAGTATTTTTGTGGAATCTCCTACCTCTTGTTTCCTATTGCTTCAATCGTGGGGCAGCACAGAAATGTCATAAATAAATAAAGTAATAACAATAATTCCTTGGTGCATTTTATTTGCTTCAGTTCTGTTGTACGTTGCCCAAGAATCTATGAGGAAGAATGGCATAGGTGTTTTTAAAAAATAAAAATATGGTAAAATATTGAATTCAGTTAGAATTCAGTTACTTATGCTCATGAGCCTGCTAAAGAAAGGAAATACAACATAATGTGACTTTTAGAAAGATTAACAGATGTGCAGCACAATCCAAGGACATCTAATCAGAAGTAAGTCCTACTACATTTATTTATTAATTATATTTATATCCCACTTTTTCCCTACAGTGAATTCAAGGTTGCTTGTATAATCCTCTTCTTACCCTCCATGTTAGCTTCACATCAGCCCTGTGAGGTAGGTTAGGCGGAGAGTGACTGCTCTAAAGTCACCCGGTGAGCTTTGGGGCAGAATTAGACCTCAAATTAAGAGGTCTAATTAAATTGACTATGGGACCACACTGGAACTCACTGTTCGTGACTTACTTCCTGATAAAGATCACAGCTTTAAACTGTAATTCTGCGTTTCAACGATCATGAAATGCAAGAAATAGTTGGTGATGTTTGTAACAACAATTCTATGTTGTAAGCTGCCCCGAGGCTTCAGCAAATGGGGGCGGCATATAAGTACGCTATAATAATAATAATAATATTTCTGTATGGATCTCAAATGTAAACTGCACAGGTTAGATATTCAGTTCAGGGTTCCTTGAACAGCAGCAGGAAGCATTGAGCAGCGAAAGTGTCCCGAAATATCAGGGAGAGGGGATCTGCAAATGTAGTTTGGCTGATAGAATTATACAAAAATTCTGCCCACGCTCCAGCTCAGCACTGCACAGTGAAGTGAAGATTAAACATTGGCTCGGAGAGGATTTTTACACTGGGCCTTAACTGAGCCCAAACACTTTGAGGGCCGATGTTACTTGTGCAATTTTAAAAGTGAGCTTAAAAGTTTTGCTTTAAGAAAAAAGGGGCAGGCAATCTGGAATGTGCTTTCAATATAGATTTGAGCTCGGTGTGAGTTTTTGCCTAAAACAGGGTCCCTGCCCCTCCTTATTCAGTCAGCACTTGCCTTTGAATTGTTTATGGTAACAATGCCTTTGGGAACAATAAAAACTGGGAAGGAAAGAACACTATTTTTGTTGGAAAACTCCCAGGAGCCCAGATCTGTGTTGGAAGCATGTTCTACATTGTGGGGTTGGAGAAGCATTCTTCAAAATCAAAGTCGCTACTTCACTTGCTTTGAAATTTGAAGTTCACATCTGAAATAGCTTTGCCAATGCCCTTGTTGAACAGAAAGACGAACAAATGGATCCTAGATCAAATCAAGCCAGAACTTTCCCTGGAAGAAAACAACAACAAGCCTGAAGCTGTTGTACTTCAGGTACATCGTGAGAAAGCAAGACTCACCGGGGAAGACAATAATGCGAGGGAAGTCCAAGGGAAAAGAAGAGTGGGAAGACCAATTATGAGATGGGTTGATTCCATAAAGGAAGTCACAACTTTTGAGTTTGCAAGAGCTGAGCAGAGCTGTGAAGGACAGGACATTTTGAAAGGTGCTTGTTCATAGGATTTCCATAAATCAGAAATGACAGCCGTGTATCAGCATCAGAAACACATACACAGGTAGATTCTTGTTGTTTTGGGGGTGCCGGAAAGGCCGGTGTGGATCCAGGTTTACAGGGAAATTGCCCTGGGATCTGTTCGATTAAGCAGGGATGTGGGCATTGTCTGTCATCTTTGCCTTCTCAGAATTCCCTCTTACCTCTGAGCTTAGCTGTAATTGTTGTGTCACCATAGCCAGGGGGAAAATGAATTTTCCCAGCACATTCTGGGGATGACTTGATGTAAATGGGCAATGCAAACCTAGGAAATTTATCATAAAAGATTTATTTATTTAAAGCTTTTATAGACGGTCCTGTGACTCACGTCTCAGGACGGTTTACAACAAGCACAGATAGAAAAGGCACAGCATCCAGCAATTCACACTAAAATCACAATTAAAACCTATTAAACATTAAAATAGTGGGAGAATAAAAAGATCTTCTCTGGATGGAGATGAGAACTGCTGGAAGTCGTTTACTGATGTGGACCAACACAGCTGCCCGTTTTTGGGGAGTCTTCCACTCTAGGGATCTCTCACATTTAGCACTGAATCACAGTGCCTAAGGCCTTGTTGAAGCTAAGCAGGCACCGGGCTGGCCTGAGCTTGGAGGGGAGACCACCTGGAAACCTGGACTTGCAGAACTGGGGAAAGGTGGGATAGAACTATAATAAATGAGTAAAAACAGGTAAAGCTGCAGCCAGGCTCTCGGATGTGCTAACTGCAAAGCCAAGCCGACATTTCTAGCGACCCCGTTGGCTCTTTGGGTCCACTGATACCTGCTCAGCTGATACCTTAGGTCCGTTGCAGTGATGCTTCATAGTTCAGGTGAGAGTTTGCTTGAAAGCTTTCCCCGTCCGCAGCATAAAGCCTCTTAGTCCTGGGGCCAGAATCTTAATCTGAGAGTCTGGATGCCTTAAACTGGAAGCATCTCTAGGCCTGCAGCAAAATTGTGGGAGAATACATGTTCCAAGAAGCCAATGTGTAGATGGGTAGAAAGACTCCCATGATGTCAGCTCTGCTATGTGTGATTTTCTTCCCTATATCCATCAATATGAGAGAGAAGCCAGCTATTCTTCAGTCGAAGAAGGTCACAATGCCCTGTGCCACGAGGCGCTTCTGGATTTTGCTTGAGTTTGAGATCTCCAACATTTTAAAAAAACACTTCTGGCCATGTTAGAAAAAAAGACTTTTTATTGCCTGTATCTCGGCTCAAAGACATAATTTTGTACCAAGCAGAGGTTTGGAGATGTCTGCAGCCTCACTCTGTTACGTTTTTTATTGTTCTCTTTACTCAATGCTCCAAACCAATTTGTTGGTTTTATTTTGGGCTCAGAAGGGTTATGTTTTGTTTTTGTGTTTTCTCCCAGCTTCTAAATATTTATCTTTTACACAGAAAATGGCCCCAAGGAGATGCAGCAGGTGGGTTTTGTTTACATAGCTGCCAAAACTGGGGTGCGATATATGCAGAATATTTTAATGTCGAACAAGATCTGAATGTTTATGGTTCTCATACTGATTATTCATGTCTGATTGCTTCTTGAATTGCACTTGGGGAGACTAAACTTCGTTGCCCAGCAGCATGCCTGGCAGAGGAAGAGATGGACAGAGAGGAAGAGTGCATGCGAGAGAGAGAGAGAGAGAGAGAGAGAGAGAGAGAGAGAGATTGATTTATGGCCGCAGACCAACAGAGTTAGTCACATTAGGGGAGGGACCCTGGAAACAGGATCAGACATGACAACAACACTGAATATTTCCAGAGTCACTGTGACCACAACAGGGAGAGACAGTGAGAGAAATGCAGGAGGCAGAAAAATTCTCCTACAGTCCGTTTATCCGTAAGTGGAGAGGGAGCCAGGTATTCCTGACCAGGTTTAACTCTCCTTCTTTCAATGGCCTAGATCCAACTGGTTCTAGGTTACTGCAGATCTGCCGTCAAGTCAAAGAAAAACCAGTCTTGTGTACAGCTTTCCCTATTCCAGTTGTAATCTTGCACTAATCTATTGAAACTTACAAGCAACTCGTGCGAATACTCATTCATCCGTTGCATTTTTATCCTGCTCTTTGGCCAAGAGTCTCCCAGATCTGTTTACATAAGATCAAAAGAAGCAATTCCAAACAAGACAGTCCATGCC